GATTTACCATTTGACAGGGACAAACGATTTGCCGAAGAGACTGATAGCGTATTATATTCTTCCAAGGACTCTCACACAACCCTTCGGACATTGGGTATGTATACTCTGCCGTATAGGAGACATTGATATACTCCTTACGAACGACAGTACGACTACCCATATGTCAGACAACAGTGGCAGCAACAACAAAGAACCTTCAACCACCAATGCCCATGCCAAAGACCCCAAAGGCAAACAACAACAAGCAGCAGGTTTGGTCGGGGGTACGCAGACAGTCTCTTACAGCAGCAGCAGTCACCAAACCCTCCTCTTTCACAAACGTTTGAGGCCGTTTTACCACCAATGGGTCACAATCACCAGACAAGTGGATGTTGGAAATAGTTCAATCAGGATGTTCCATTCCCTTCTTCGCCATTCCTCTCACTATCCCCCTCACCCCATCCCTCTTCAGGGACCCATCTCATGAAGCCCTGCTACGTCCTGATGACCATCTGCTCTCCTTAGGGGCAGTAGAACCAGTCCCAGATGAGTTCTATTTTCTCACTTAAAAAAATTCTGAAGGGATGGCAACCAATACTAGATCTCCACTGTTTGAACAGATTTCTACGAAAACAACGATTCAAGATGCTGACACTTGCTGCTATAATACCTGCGTTGGACCCACGGACCTTGCTCAAAAGTGGAAAGGATGAAACCAGCTACAGCCACCAGTAGCACCGGAATCATCCAAATGTGTCTTTCCCCCTACAGTGAGATAATCAAGCATTGCAGGCTCAAATTGTGCAACTGACCTCAGACAACCAGCAACTGCAGGAGCAAGTGAGGCAGCTCAGAACCATTAGCTCAGCTCAGTAAAAGTACTATTTAGCTAACACAGCCTGCAATTCCTTGCCCTAAAGAGGGGCCTGCAATACCTTGTCTGAAAAGTTTGATGAGAACTCCTGGCTATTTCTGGATTTCATGATCCAACAATGCTATGTGTTTCTGATACATTTCCAAATATATGCCTCTGATTGGGCCACAATGGCCTTGGTAATCAGCCTGGAACTCCATGCAGCTGGAAGTCCCATAACCCAGTGCTGTCAAACTGGATTGGCTCATTCTATTTTATGTCAACCATCTTCTGTGACCCAGCTCAAATGACTGAGGCCGTTCTGAGGGACTCTAACAGGGGCAAAGCACAGAGGTCTCCTAAGTCTTGTACTTCCACCACCTCCTAGCAGATCCAGAGTGGAATGAAGCAGCACAACTGTACTAGTTCCAGTTGAGCTTGTGGGAAGAAATAAAAGATGAATTGGTCCTACAGACTTCGATACCGTGTGGACCTTACCATCCACATAGATAATTGGCTGTGAGAACAAAGAGAGGAGAAAAGAGGTTTTTGTGCAGCCCTCCTATCTGTGTACTGTGACATCACCTTCTGTATCACATGCCAAACTAATCCAGCTCATCAGCGACTCAGAGAAGAAGAAAAGGAACTGCAGTATCTGTGCCATCTGTGCTTCTACTATGGTGAACCTAGCCATCCCATTTCATCCAGGCCAGTAAGAATGCTGAGAAGCCTGGGGAAAATAATCTAATCCTGGCATGGTGGTAGGAACCAGCCTGAGCTGTTAGAGAAGAAATTTTCTCCATACCCTAGTCCTTACTGAGACACACTCAGAGCTTATCCAGGAGCCTATCCAACTGCACATCCTGGGGGACCAGCAACAGATGCCCCTCAAATAGGCTCTCATCAGTTTGGGAGTAGCAGGCCATTTAATTCCCCTGACATAATTTAAACTCTTGATGAAACTGTCTTCAGGTCTAGTTGTGAAGAATACTGTCACACGGGAAGCCATTATGGAAGGACACAGCGAAATAATGCATATTTGATGTGATCAGTTCCCTCCATATTCAAATCCTTGGCATGTCCTGGATGACCCTCATTCACAGGAGAGATCAGAAAGTCATTTTCCTATCAGAATTTGGTGAACAGCATAGCCAGAACCAGTGAAAATTGCATCCAGACCCAAGTATGCTCAAGCAGGTGTAGTTGTCTTCATTAAAACACTTGCTGAAGGAACAATGAACCTTTCCTACCAAGCACCACAACTATAATGACTATATTTGAGAAGAACAGTGCAGAAAGCCTCCCTCTACATTGGGACTATGACTGCCCATAGAACTTTAGTTGGGGTGAATATACCATTTGGACAGATATACGCAATGTCAGAGCTTGAACTAGCTGCTTTGTGAGAACATCACCATGAGAATCTGACCTGGAGTTCCATCTGCAACTTGACTACATCAGCCAGTGCCCCAATCCTTTTCATAAAAAGAGGGACAGCAGCCTACACCTCTTTGTCAATTATTAAACACTAAATATGATACAAATCTGAAACTGTTATCCACAACTTCAGTCATGTTGGACCATGTGGAAGCTGCCCATATATTCAGTATACTGAATCTCTAAGGAGTTTACAGTCTCATTTGTATCTGAGAAGGGATATATAGGATACTGCCTTTCAGATCTGTTGTGGCCACTTTGAATATTTAGCTATGCCATTTGGACTGACTAGTGCCCCATCAGCATTCCAGCAATTCATTTACAATGTACTACAAGACCTGCTGGCCTTCAGTGGGAGCCACTCTGAGAAACCTGAAGTCATGTTGCCTGAAGAGTGCCCCTAGGGAAAAGGGAGATCATGGCCTGCAGATATTGAATCCTGGCCTACAGGGTTCATGGGAGCAGCTATGCCTGGTGACAATTCCTTCCTTACATGGGACCCACAAAACCCAGCCTCAATGTGAGATTCCACAGCATAGGTCCAACTGGTAGAGTCCCAGAGTGACTGATTGGCCCCAT